CACATGCCTACACATTGTGTTAATGACAATAAAAATGTATTGAATTGAATTGTCATTGCTATCTAATTGTCACAAAAGGTTTCAAGGTGATTCAAGCTATGCTGTTTTGAGAGACTATTCTAATGTATGATACTGTGTGTTACTGCATGTGATTTCCTCATTGTTTCTAACACACTTCTCACAGTTGGTGTTACTGTGTCTTGCTTGTCATTGCCATCTAATGGCCCTAGAAAGTTGCAAAGTTATGTAAACTATGCTAATTTGAGAGATTATTCTAAGGTAGTATGGTAGTATAAATATGCTGGATTAATGATCCATTAATGGACTGGCACCCATCTCCAGCAAAAGGCTGGTCATGACCTATGTCCCATTTTGCATTCTTTGGTAAGCGAACCAATGCCGCTTGGAGGTCCCTCCACCATGTGGGCAGTCTCACCCCAGCCGTTTCTTACGTGTGGTCCCCTGATGTTGGAAGGAGCCACCGAACCACATCTGGTCATCACATCCCCTCTCCGCTTTAAAGAAATGCCTGAATTTCTTGGAATTCTTCTGGCAACCTGATTGTTTCTTGAATGCTCTTCTGCTGCGGTTACTGGCCCTTGGTCCTGCTCCAGACCTGTTTACACCACTACGCGAGCTTTCATTGGAAGCTCAGCTTAACCATACTTACTGTAAGTCTCGTTGATCCCTGGACAGTATTTGTGTTTGTAATGTTCTATTTGCCTTACATGTCACTTTGTACAAAACTAAACATGTCTGCTAAATATGTAAATGTAAATAATAAAATAATAATAATAAATTTTTACATGGGAGGGGGCACCCTAGACAGGACACCCCAGTCCATCTCAGGGCATGCACTCACAATCACATACTATTTCAAGTGTTATTGGGCTTTTTGAGTCTTGGTGACCAGTGATGGAAATTATGTGTCATTAAGTGTGGGATGTTTCCATGCTAAACATAAACACAAATAACAATGTTGTGTTATTAATTATATGCACACATTTCAGGAAGAAAATGTGACCCTTTTTGCTGTTTATGAGAGAATTTCCTGAATGAAGGGCTTTTGGAATTACAGCATTGAGAAGCAGTGCATGAGGAAAAACAGTCAGGCCAGTGTGTTCTGCGTTTTAATCAGAACGGATGCAGAAAGTTATGTCATGCAGTGACAAACAGGATACTGTGATTGTAACACAATGAAAATGCTTGGCTGTGTGCTGGGAACCCAAAGGCTGGGTCGGTCAGGAACGCTCGCCGTCTGTTGGTGGGCGCCGGGGCTGCCTCAGTCAGGAACGCTCGCCGTCTGTTGGTGGGCGCTGGGGCTGCCTCAGTCAGGAACGCTCGCCGTCTGTTGGTGGGCGCTGGGGCAGGCCGCAGCCCAGCTTCCTCACAAAATGTGTGGCTGAGTGTGCGAGGCCTCTTTCATACACAGAAACTCGGGGATCTTAGAATAAACAGGATGTGTGAACTGAGCTTCTGGATTTATTGCCTCTAAAATTAGTTTTGCTGCCCCTCTTGGCACATTTTCTCTGTTTGCCAAATATCTTGAAAATCAACTAGACAGTAAGATTCAAATGAACTTCTTAATAGTTCATTTTGGTTTGTCAAATAGTAGAATTTATTGCATTATACAGTTTTTATGATCGTTTTTTTTTTTTTTTTTTTTTGCTGCCTCCTGAACTTTTTTTTTTAGTTCTGTATTTGTTATTGTTCTTCATAGGGGGAGACAATGTTCTTGCATTTAAAGAGCCAAATGCTGAAATTGCTTCAAATTCCAAAAGCATTGTGTCATGCCCTTGTAAGCTCACCAGCTGAACAGCGGAGATCGGATGCACCTGCGGATGACTGCTTATAAGAGTTTGCCCACTGTGAGGTATTGTTGATTCCATGCAACAGTGATTCTGAGTGATTATCTCGTCTTCCGTGTAGCCCTGACCCAGCCTCCCTGTGGTGCTTCTATTCCTGTATCAACTCCCCGGATCCCTGCCATGTGTAATTCTCCCTCATGTGCCTTTTTCGTCGGACTGACCCGCCTGGCTTCCTCGACCCTACGCTCGCTACCCCGACCACGATCTGGCTCGCCGTTTCTGTTTGCCCTTTGCTTAATAAACCTTTTGTGGTCACAACGCTTTGTGCCTTTTCGAGTGTTCTGTGATGTGACAGAATACCTCGCCTCACAAATGGATCCAGCAGACGTTCAACACCAGCTGCAAGACACCCTGGTGCAAATCGATCAGCTTACCAACCTGGTCCGTCAGCTTCAGAGACTCCCTGTGCGCTGTCCACATAATCTCCCACTGAAGCGGAGCCAATGCAGCTGGGCCGCGCCCCACTCTACCCTGTGGAGCGACAATGCCGCATGCAGTTGCACCTGTGTGGGAGAGGCTGGCCACCTGATCGGCACCTGTCCAGTTCGCCCGAGCTCTTCCCTGTCCCCTTAGGCTCAGGTAGGTGTGCTGGGTCTTCTCACTATCTCAGCTAAGCAGATGGCTGTCCCAGTGTCCTTTTCCTGGTCAGGCAGTAAGTTTGATTGGCGGGCCCTGGTGGATTCTTGTGCTGTGGGGAACTTCATTGACCGGCAACTTGTGATACTCCACGCCATCTCCTTGGAAACCCCATTATTGGAGTTGATGGTGCCCGCCTTGCTGCAGGTCAGGTACTCCACCATACCAGCTCACTCCGAATGCAGGTGGGAGCCACCCACAGGGAGGAGATCCAGTTTTGTTTTTGTCCACCATAAGATGGGCTTATCCTAGGCCATGGTTACAACGTCATAATCCACACATAGATTGGAGGAAGGGAGAAATCCTTACCTGGGCCCTGTTGTGTTTCGCCCACTGATTCACGTTACCCTGTCTAGTGTCATCCGTAGATAGCCCCCTTCCAGAAGGACACGCCCAGATTCCACCAGAGTACAGTGACTTTGCAGATGCCTTCAGTAAATCTCAGGCCTTTGGGCTACCGCCACACTGCAGTTTGGATGGTGCCATCAAATTAGATGAAGGTGCAACTTGGCTAAGAGGACGCCTTTACGCACTGTCCCAACCCAAGGAGGAGGCCATGAGGATGTATATAAAGGAGGCCCTCACTCAAGGTATCATCCATTCCTCTACCTCTCCCATCTCCTCAGGCATCTTCTTTGTAAAGAAAAGGGAAGGAGGTCTGAGAACCTGTATCGATTACCAGGGCCTCAATGCCATCACCCGCAAGAATTGGGAGCCCCTGCTTCTAGTTCCCCCAGCTCTGGAGCAACTTTGGGAGGTCACCAAACTAGACCTGTGGAGAACTTACAATCTATTGCGCATTTGAGAGGGCGACGAATAGAAAACATCCAGTGGTGGTGATGAAGGACAGTATGAGTATCTTGTCATGCCATACGGATTGGCTAACAGTACATCCATTTTCCAGAATTTTTGTGCCAGGTGTTGGCTGACATGCTCCATCGCTTTGATATAATGTACATTGACAATATCCTCATCTATTCCCCTTCTTTCAATGTCCACATGGGACACGTCAGACAGGTGCTACAATGCCTTCAAGACAACCACCTCTATGTGAAAGGTGAGAAGTGTGAATTCCAACTCTTGGTGTACCAGATCCAACCCGGAGGTGTGGGGATGGATAAGGGGAAGGTAAAACCGTGTGGGAGTAGCCCAAACCCTGCACAGTGAAAGACCTCCAGCAGTTCTTAGGCTTTGCCAATTTCTACCACCGGTTCATTCGTGGTTTCAGTACTGTGGCTGTATCCAGGGGGGCACACATCCCACGTGGTCCTGGACTTCATTACGGACATTCCTCGGTCCCAGGGACATACAGCAATTCTGACCACCATAGACCGATTCTCTGGGATGTGCACATCCATGACCATGGCAGCTCTGGAGACACTTGCCTATTTAGGACCGCACCCATCCTCCAGAAACCAGACCCCTTTGTGGTGAAAGTGGATGCCTCTGCGGTATAACTGTAAACCAGAATTTCAGTGCTCTCTTTTATGGTTAAGATTGATTTGTTGATTTGTACTTATTACTTCAAAAAGAAAAAACATGTTATTTGGTCAATTAACAGCTTAATGCAGAAAAGTTTCTGTAGATAGTCCAGACGACACCAGCTCATCTGTCTTATGTGTGTGTGGGATTATTGTGCCAGTGCTGCTTCGCATCCTGATTGTCAGTGGCATCATGATGCTTCACTGGCCATGCAGTGAAGGGATGGTCAATGGCTGCAGTGAAGGAACTGTGTGCTGCACAGGGGGGGCTATGTGCTACAGTGAAGCGGTTGTATGCTGCATTGAAGGAACTATGCTGCAGGGGAGGCGCTGTGTGCTGCAGTGATGGGGCTGCATGTTGCACAGGAGGGACTGCATGCTGCATTGAAGGGGCCACTAAACTGATAGTCCAAGAATTACAACACAACAAAAAAAATTACACTTTTCCAGAGCATGAGATTATGAGTTTGAAATAATACCATTTACATTTGGTACTTGTTCCTTAAACAGGCACTATGTACAAAATCATCTGTTAAAACACTGCTGAAGTACTGAAATGAAATTACAGTCTTACATGGAGTGACACCTGACTGAGTCACGTCCAACTTCTCAGGTGCATAGTAAATAATACACACTGATCAAGAGACGCCTGAAAGCGGATGTTAGCGGGTAACAGTCAGTAACAGTGTAGAGTAACAGCGTAGAGTAACAGGTGCAGGCCAGAGCTGCCAGCCATACAATGACGCACTGCCCATGTCTGACCTGTAATACAGTATGCATGCAGTAATGTGTACACGATGGACAGCTACAATACTGAGATACACCCAAAGTGACTTGAGTGCAGTGGGCCTGGTCCCAAATCCGAACGCAAGTCAATGCAAGGCTGTAGTACATTATTATTAGCGAGTGACCGAAGTGCTTCCAGGCTGCACCATTATTTCTTTAAGGTCGCTGTCATCTTTCAGGCTGGAGTGTTTAAACTGTATTGCATATGTTCCATGAAAAGCAGGGAAACTGAGCATTATAAGTGTTTGATTTATTCATATGAAGTGTAAAATATGGGTAGCTGTCCAAATTATTTCCTAAGACCTCATACTTGATTAACCATATATTTGATGAAACAGTTTATTGTGTTATAGTTTTGCATAGGAGGGGTTCACAATCAGCGACGTCTCCTGTCGCTGTTCCATGGCTGATTTTTGGGCCAAAATCACCCAAATTAATTTTCTTGTTTAGTCTCTGGGACATTTTTACCATGAATAAATCACGTCGCCTTAACGTGACACGTGTCCATTCTCTTCAGTCCTTAAGAGCAGCGATACATTATTAACTCCAACATCTCCAACATGTACAGTATTTGCACACACACTCGCACATGTAAACAGGTCTGAGGGCTGTCGCCTTGGTGCCTCTTCTATTCAGTCCTTCTGAGTTTAAACCTGAAGAAAGGGAGCGGAAGCAATGTGTCACAAAAGGAAAAGGAAGCACTGCATACATATGAGTACAAGTGACCCTTTTTATCCAGCAAAAGAGAATCGGTGGGGGTGTCACAGTGAGGCCTGTCTGTGGCAGAGGAAGAGCAGAATGGTGCGCCTGCCCCCCACCTTCCTACAGAGGCCTGCCTGACAACAGTCATGAGCACGCAAGTGGACTTCAGGAAAAAATAATAGCTCTTATTTTAAGAATTGCCAAAGAAACCTAGTTACACAGTAGTGTTTCAGTAGCTTTTCTCCAACAAAAATAAATCTGGCTCCAACAAAATTTAGAGGACAAGGTCATATTCACCTCAGTTACTGTAAAACACCGGTTACTCCTGTCTGCTATTAAAAACAGAGCCTGATATGTTGACTCTCCAGGGGAGCATATTGTTGATATTTTACACTTCGGCGTCTCGCTGCAATCACAAATCACATCACTGTGGGTCAAATTAAAACACATGACACAGATTTTTATTGCACGCTGCAGTTGTGCTTAGCAGCAGAGATAGTAACAAAACTGCAATATTCACATACACATTTAATGTCCATTTCTCCAGTCAATGTTTAATTATCATGTAGCCTCAAGACATTGGATCTTTTTCTGAAGTCAAAAAAATGACAATTTTTTTCCTGATATATGGCCAACTGTTCCCATTTCTACAAAAACACTTACTAGATGTACTTACAATTGACAGGGTGGGACTCTTCTGGGACAGTTTCCTGTAAGAATCCTCTTACCTGTACATTCTACTTAAAGGTATTTTCCCTCCTATCCTTCTTTCATTGCTCTGTCTCTTTTCACCAGCTGCCCAGTCGTCCTTGAAGTCTTTAGCGGAGTTGTAGTCCAAGTGGTAGCTGCTGTGTCTTTGGTTGGATTTCCCCTGAGTGCAGCCGTCCTCCACGGCGACCTTCTCGTTGGTCTTCTTTAGCTGAAGGGTGGGTATCAGGTTGTCCTTGTCCACATGAGGCATGTTGTTCACAGCATCGCCGTCGCGTCTCTCCCCATTTCGCTGCCGGTGGATTTTGTTCAGTGCGACAGCCACCATGCTTAACAGCAGCAGCAGGATGACCAGCCCGACTCCCATGGACATGGCCGCCCACTGGAGGGCGCTCCTGGGCTCTTCTTGGCTAGGAGCGAGAGGCAGGGTCATGACGTGGTACTGGCAGTTGGGGCCGGTGTAGTGGGTGGGGCAGACGCAGGATGGTGATTGGCCGGTACTGTTGCCAAGACAGGTGCCGCCGTGTAGGCAGGGCTGGGCGACGCATGGCTCGGTTGGTGTGTCACAGCGCCGGCCCGTGTGCCCGGGGGGGCAGGCGCAGCTGTAGTCCTTGGCTTGAGGCACGCAGGTGCCCCCATTGGCACAGGGGCTTCCATTGCACCAGTTGGTGTTGATCTCGCAGCGAGGACCCGTGAATCCTGCCGGACAGCTACATACAGGCCGGCCGCTCTGAAGGACGCACCAGCCACCTGGGGGGGCAAGACACCTTGTTACCCTGTGGCCACATAGTGCATTAATGCTAGTCTCCAGGAAGGGGCGGAAAATGCATAGAAATTGTGGTTATGGTCTTACACTAATGACTCACTAAGAATTCAAACCACACACTCTGCAGACCTGTGATAGTTCCAGCTGTAGATGGACCCATGTTTGTTTCTGAAAATGGCTTCACCACCAGCACATGCAGCGGCACACCTGCAGGAAATGCGGCTGCCACTGACGCAGTTCTTTCCCCAGAGGAACTTCACCAGTTACATATTAAGTTTCCCCTCATGGGCCCTACACATAATAGCAGCACTAAGCGGTCAGGGCGAGCTGGCCACGTGAGGATTCCTCTGCTTGGAGAGCACAAGGACAAATACGGGGAGAGTGGCCCCTTCTGAGGGCTTATAGAGACTCGGCTGGGCCAGCGTCAACTCAAGGAGACCTTGGGGAGGGAAAAACATGAAAGGGTAACAGGATTCAGAACAGGCATTTAGCGGTCTGGCTGGATGTACAGAGGGTGACAAAAAGCAGACCACACCAATTCATTTGTTTAGCCATGCACAAGGGACGTGTCACCAGAACCCCCCACCCCACCCCCCAAACAGATCTGCAGTGGCACCGATTTGCCGCCGTGATAAGTATGCTGTGAGAGGCCCTGGCCTGCTTACCATTAGCACATGGCAGCAATGAGCACCGGTCCAGCCTCCTCTCACAGTTAAGCCCGGTGAAGCCCCAGGGGCACTCGCAGACATAACCCTGCCCGCCCTGCTTGTCCCTGCACCTCCCACTGTGGAAGCAGGGGACGTCGGCACAAGTGAGCAGCCGGTGCTGGCAGTGGGCCCCGTCCGTGCCTCTTGGACAGATGCACCGGTAGCCATCTTCCAGGTCCTGCGTACAGAACAAAAGCGGCCAGTGTCAGGGCCCTGGACAGTCTGTAAAATGACAGTAAGTACATCCAGCAGGAGGGTGGGGTGCAGAGGTGCCCAGTGGCGTACAGAGGTGCCCACATTGTATCAGGTAACTAACCGTGTCCCCCAAGGCTCTGTTCTTGGTCCTCTCCATATCACTCTTTACATGACCTCTCAGTCTCATGGCTTCTCCTACCACTGCTATGCCAGTGACATCTCGATCTACAGTACTTGACCTTCTCTCCTGTTGACACCACAGTCTATGCTCGGGTATCTGCATGCTTAGCTGACAATGCAGGATAGATGAGGGACCATCACCTCCAACTTAATCTCTCCAAGATTGAGCTTCTTGTGCTCCCTGCCAACCTTACCGTCCACCATAACATAATTGTTCGGCTTGAATCAACCACACTATTTCTATAAAGGTCTGCTAGGAAGTGAGGGGTGATGACAGATGACCAGCTGTCCATTGCTGAGCACATACCAGTGCTCTCCCAATCTTGCAGGTTTACCCTGTATACCATTTCTGTCTGAGGTTGCAGCTCAGCTTCTAGTCCAGGTTACTCTCCACTAGCAGGTCTACCAGCTTGTCATGTCAGACCACTACAGATGATTCAAAAGGCAGTTGAATGTCTCATACTCATTCAGCCTAAATGATCCTGTGTCACATCTCTCTCAGTCTTCACTGGCTCCCTATTGGCACTCAGATGAAATTCAACTCCTTGGTGCCACTGCATGCTTCACTGGTCATTGGCAGAAAGGGAATTGGTTCTTTTGGTTCCTAAAATGCGAATCGCATTCCGAGAGTTACGAAGGGAAATGGGCTGTGAGTGCGAGCCGACACCCACCACACACTCCCCCCCATTCTGGCAGGGGCTGCTGCTGCACTCCGGCGCCCCCAGCTGGCAGTCGGCACCGGTGAAGCCAGGTGGGCAGGTGCAGGTGTAGCTGCCCTGGCCTGTGTTCATGCAGGTGGCGCCATTGCGACAGGGCTTATGGTGGGTGCAGTAGTTCAGATCTGCGAATGTGCATGATAACATGTGATCTTCCTTGCAGCTCTGACAGACGGAGAGGTGATCAGTGACATTTCCTGGTTCGTCTCTCCCTTATTCTGCATTTATGGCCTTTTCCAAGCATCTGACTGACTGCGTTTAGCATTTAGCTGCCACAGCACAGCAGAGATCAGACTGCAGTGTGAGGGTTCAAATTCCAGTGCTGCACTGAACCCTCCCCTGCAGGTTTTATCTGGACTAGTTACACTCTTGCTCTGCCACAGACATTTATAAATATAACCTTGTGGGCATTGAAAGAAATTACTTACGTTCCAGAGACTGACAGTTCAGATACAGCTCTGGAAAAAAAATGAGAGACCGCTCCATATTTTTTAACAATCTGCATTGTAAAATCCTGAGTTAATGCTAGTTCTGCTGGCACAAGGCTATGCTGTGAGGCATCTTGTTTCCAGGTTCAAAGTATGTAAGACACTGAAACAATGTGAAGCAGGAGACACTGGCAATAACCAAAAACCAGCCAGACAGAGGGAGAAGTGACTATTTAATGCCTGAGATAACCGTCAATTTATCCTACAGTGTCCCATAAATCGGAGGATGACCTCAAGTGGCCTTCAAAAAGAATGGGAAACATTTACTTGTGTGAAGTGCACAGCTCAGAAAATTCATAACTGGCTCTTAGAAGCAGGGCTGAACACTCATAAAACAAGCCCTTCGTCAATGAGGAGCAGGGAAGAGTCAGGCCAGAGCTTGCATACATACATACATATACACACACACACACATAAAATTCACAGACGCACACCAATAAATTGAGAAATTAATGAAACGAAGAATTGTGCTGTGGTCTCTTATTTTTTCCCAGAGCTGTATGGGTTATAATTGTTTATTAATGCTATTCTTATGTGTCAAATAAGCAGTTGATATGAATAATGTCAATGTCCTCTGCTGTGTTTTGCCACACTGTGGTGGAAAAAGTGTCAGATGAAGGAGTAAAATCAGTGATATCATCGGTACTTAATAAAAGGCCCATCCCAACTCACCCTGGTCACAGAGGAGCCCCCCCCAGCCCTCCTCACAGTTGCACTGCCAGGGCTGTTGGCAGGTGCCGTGTTTACAGGTGGGGTACTTCCTGCACTGGTCACAGAGGGCGCCCTGCCAGCCATCTCTGCACCTGTCGCCACAGAGCACCACATCACACTCAAATTTTCCTTTTGCTGCTTTTCCTGGTATCTGTAGTCACTGCACTTATAATTTCAGGATTAAGCGAGGAAGGACACAAGTGGCAAGGTTTCATCTCCATCTCCTATCTATCTGGAAGGGGCAAAGCTACAGCATCAAGTGGACAGATGTGTGAGAAACGCACTGGGAGCAAACTTACAGACATTCACCGGGTCTAGAGCAGTTTCCATTTTGCTTGCTGCACCCCTCAAGACAGATTGCTGCAGATGGGGGGAATGCGCATGAGAGAGAGAGAGAGATAGATAGAGAGAGAGAGAGAGAGAGAGAGAGAGAGAGATAAAGTTATCAGTAGTGATAGATGTATAGAGATGATTCAGTCTGCAGTCACCACAGTTGCTTTCAGTTTAGCCGTCTCAGTAGCCCATCTGTTTTTTTTCACTGCCAACCAAGCTGTCATAAAACCAATTAGAAACGTAACCCGTATGAAGTAGAAAGCATGTTGTTTATCCCAGCTGAGAGCTGAATTGGACTGTTTCTCATTATTTCCATGTGTAGCACCACGGAAGACTGGACCTGGTCATGTGAAGTTAGGGGCCCTGTCCTTTTCTGTGGTATTTGCATCTGGTTTTTATTCAATGAACTGAGCAAATAAGCCAAGCTTTTCTGCAATAATTAATATAATGAATCATATATAATAGAGCAGTAGAATAGCAGTTAAAGAGATGGATATGTGACTGAGATATTCCACAAGCCTTGAGAGGTTCTAGGAGCTTCTGTATGAATCCACATCAAGCTCTTCGGGGTGGACTGACCCCCCGGCATGGGGATGGCGGCTCTAAGGGGGGCATCTGAGCAATTTTGGAGCCAACAGACAAATAGGATGGAATTTTATCTCTAATCAAAGCCGGGGGTGTCAGCAGTAAAACTTACAGATCAGGGTAGGGGCAGGAGTGATTTTGGTAAAATTCATCCAATCGGGGTATATTATATTATTATAGATATAATGGTTTGGGGTAGACATTTAGTCTATGTGTCTTGCTACTTAAAAAAAAGTGCTACTTAAAAAAAATACCATCCCTGAAGCCCAAACTGGCGAGCAACCCCTGGTAAAAAATTAAATATAATAATAATTATGGCACATCTGGACTGTGAAGCATTAGTGGTAATTGGTGCCAGTTGGAGAGCCTGCCTCTGCAAGGAGGCTGTTGGATGGCCCTGCATTTGTGAAATGTCTGTTACCAGGATACCGCATCTAGCACATCTGCACGCGTGTACCCCACGTGTGAGCCGTATGATACCAGGATACCGCATCTAGCACATCTGCACGCGTGTACCCCACGTGTGAGCCGTATGATACCAGGATACCGCATCTAGCACATCTGCACGCGTGTACCCCGCGTGTGAGCCGTATGATACCAGGATACCGCATCTAGCACATCTGCACGCGTGTACCCCGCGTGTGAGC